TGTTTCCTTTTTGCAACGTCCATGCCATTCTTCTGCATTTACTGCCGCCGCAAGGCGAACTTAATGGTCTGTCAGCTTGAAGACCAAATCAGTGTTAATGTCGACCGTGCTACCGGGTATTCAACATTGGCAAAATAATCACGTGCAACCAAGTCGCCTCAGCAACCAAAATAGTCGCAACCATCGTCAATAATACGGTGGTTGTCCTATCATAACTAACCGCAATCTGCATAAATTGAAGGCAACGATGTACGTGCCTACAGCAGTTCTGCGCTACTGATTCAGCGATAAGCAAAAAATCACCCATGATTTATTGCCTAACACAAATAAAAACTTGTTGTGCCACTTTGGATGCTAGAGGATATCGTCCAATGGAATTACCGTTTTCTGGCTGAAGAAGTTTCACTCAGCTGGCAATAGGCGAGGTCCGATTACGCATTTTTTCCTCAAGTATGTCAGCCGATTTCTGTACTATATGTTCTGTACATAGTTGCAACTGGGAAGTTGCACAAAAATTAAATTTGCAAAATATTACTCGCAACTGTAACTTAATACTAGTAAAAACCCCACGGTTTACAAAAAAACTCATTTTTTATTTCTATGTAAATAGTCTAAGCATGTAAAAACTGTATACTTCAAATCATTCTGGTAGTTGTGACGTCAAGTAGCTAGACGGCCGTGGCGGCTGCAATGTGGAGCATGTAAACATGTAACATCAGTTTAGATATTGTCGTTAAAACGTTTCTATAGTGTATTAGGAGAAAAAGAAAATATTTCAAAATGATTCACGCAGGTTTTGTAAAAGAACAATCTGACACTTTACCACCAGTGGATATGTTTATGCTGGCATCTTACATTAAAAACACCGAAAGTTTTTCTCTTGCTGAAGTTCGCGGTGTTAAAGCTAACAGGTAGATTTATAGACAAAATAGTCAATAGTTTTATATAAATCGATAAAATGTTAGGCTAGGGTTTTAATGGCTCCAATTTTCAAAATTCAAACAGTAGATAGCTATTGATCAAAATGTAAGTGATTCAACAAAAAATAAGAAAGTAGTGTTTTCATGCTAGTAAAAACTAAAATACATCATTAAAAGTGATTTGGTATTGATACAAAACATGCATGGATTTAACATACTTATTCATATCTTCTTCCCTAGAATAAATAAATAATATTAGTTACATAAAAATATTCTTTTTGCATGACCAAAATAGTATGTATTTAACGTAAATACACGACTATAAAACTAGGGTTTTCCTTCGCAGATACTTACTGTTTCTTTTTATCGTCTAGTATAGCAAATAACTATTTTTGAGTTTATTATATTCGTATATAATAAATACAGCAATAAATAAATAATTCAGCAGAGAAAAAACAAAACACAAATTCAAAATATCTATCAGTTATACAATAGACAAAATCAAATGTGTTTTTTATACTTACATCAAAATTATCTTCACATACATGGGCAGTAGTCTTCTTAGAAATGTCCTTGTGAGCTCTTCAGCTTCTTCATTTTAGACGCCGGCTTTAATCTCGTAGTACGCGAATAAATAGCTTATCTGGCGTTTTAAAAGTAGTACTAGGACACAGTGTCCCCATACAGCATTTGTAATATTGTTTTTGTGTTGGTTCCATTAAGCACAGCACGAATTTTGAATAGTCAAACCGTATTTTCTTATTGCTTTTCAATCGAACGAACTAGCGCTATGACGTCACGACTTGTCCTGTGCGTTTAGTGTCTTCAAATAAATAGCTTGCGGTTACTTTAATTATATTATAACATATTAAAGAAATAAAAAAAATGTTCAGGTTCCCAATTACCAACTTTCATCCGCTTCTTCAGCACTTTTTTCTCTTGGTTTCATCCAGTCATTATGTTTCCGATCTAAAGGTAATTTATCTTTAAGGTTTGTCCAAAGCCAAACTTTTTCTAATACATTTCTATTGTAGTTCTCTAGACTTCACGTTAACGATTGCAGCTTGAAAAACGCGCATGCGCTATTTCCGTTTCAGTTCACTTATCGCGCATGTTTCTTTTCTTCAATAAGGAAAATTTAATGGTTTCACTATGTGATTTAGGTGAATATGTGAACTATTTTCCACCTTCGTCTGTATGCTCCTCATTGATATTTTTGCTTAATGATTTCGTCAGTAATTTACTTCTTCACTTCTTTCGTCTATTTTATGTTTGCTCAAAGTTTTCTTCATTATTTTGGGTTGTTTTAACGCGAAAGAGTGTCAGTTGTTCTCCATAATAATGAGCTTTGTTTCCAACATGTTTGATTTCAGTTACAATTTTGTTTAAAGGCAATTTGTAATTAAAACATATTTGTGAAAATTTGGACAAAACTCAGTTAAATTTCCAAACTTTATTGCTCACAGAGCGTCAATTGCTCTATTGAGGCGTAAAGTACTTGTTTTTTTTTCATTATATATTTTTCCAAATAGAACTAGTTTCATAATATCAAAAATTTTTCTCTAAATTTTAAAACTAAGTTTTCCATTTTTTTACTAAAAGGGCCTCAATTGCGCTGTTGGAGGATTCAACGTGCTTTTCTTCATCTTGTTTAGTTTCTGAGTTATGATTTGTTTAAAGTCCATTTCACATAAACAATACTGAAAGTTTTTCAAATGGTAGAAAATTCATATCGTAATCCAATTTTGATGTTTTCTAACTTGTTTGACTGACGAATTTTTTAAATTAAATGTGTTTAATAATTTAAAACATTCTAAGTATTTGAGAAAAACTCTACTTGAATCAGCTAAGTTTCCATTTTTTTACTCAAAAAGCTCTATTGCTCTGAAAATTTTGCAGTGAAAAAGACTCTCTGCTCTATTGAAATGTTCAGAGTTTCCATTTGCAACTTCATTAGTTTCAGCGTTACAAACGTTGATTAAAAAAACAAAAATGACATTGTATAAGTAAAAAAATTTGACAAAAACTGAAACGCATTTTGCAACTTTTCCATTAAATTTTCGTGCAAACCACTGCACAATTTTGCATTTTCTTGGCATGTTTCCAGGCAGTTCTGCATCTGGTTTCATTTTGCGATTAGTCTGCAGGCGATTCATTGAATCAAACTGCGCTCCAGTCGGTTGCAGAAAATAAATTCCTCATGGGCCTTTTCATGTTCATTTCTATTGTGCTTCACGCTGGCGATTAGAGCTGAAAACGAGCATGCGCTATTTTCGTTTCTGTTCACTTATCGCGCATGTTTCTTTTTTTCCATAAGGAAAATTTAATGGTTTCGCTATGTGATTTAGGTGAATATGTGAACTATTTTCCACCTTCGTCTGTGTGCCCCTCATTGATATTTTTGCTTAACGATTTCGTCAGTAATTTACTTCTTCACTTCTTTCGCTTATTTTATGTTTGCTCAAAGTTTTCTTCATTGTTTTGGGTTGTTTGAACGTGAAAGAGTGCCAGTTGTTCTCCATAATAATGAGCTTTATTTCCAACATGTCTGATTTCAGTTGCAATTTTTTTTAAATGCGATTTTTAATTAAAACGTATTTGTGAAAATCTTAGGAATTACGTAAATCATGTTTCAATTTATTCACTGAAAGAGCCTCAATCGAACTATTGAAAAGTTAGGAGCTTCTTTTATCAATTTATTTGATAAAACAGAGTGGTCCAGCCTTTCTCCTTGCTTTTGTGTTGTGTGTGTTTTTTAATTAATTCTTTATACATTAACATAAATAATCATTTTGTTCATTTTAGAAAAATCGGCAAGATTTTTCAAAATAAAAAATTACGAGAACTTGAGAAAATCTGCAAGAGAAAATTAGTTTCTGCTAAAAACGCCTCGATTTCTTTATCGAATAAATTATCGATGTTTTCTTCAGTTTGTGTGATTTTTGAGTTACAGATTTTTGATTGAATTTTTTTTTAATTCGGGCGAAATTGCTACAAATGTTTCCAACTTTCCTACTAAAAGAACCTCAATCGTTCTATTGAAGAGTGAAGAATTTTTTGACTGTTTGATTCAGAACTACATTTTTGTTTGGAAGAGCGATTTTTCAAATGAAAAGATTTGTAGCAATTTGAGAAAACCAGGTTCACATTTTCCTACTTTTCTAGCCTAAATAGCCTCAATCGCTTTATTGGATAATTTGTCAATCTTTTCTTCAGTTTTCTCAACTTTTAAGTTTTTTCAAAAAAGAAATAGATGCTTAAATCTCTAATTGATTTTTTGTTATTGGACAAAACTCAGTTAAAAATGTTTAAAAAAATTATTGCAAATGCATCCGGAATACATTTTTTAATCAGAAAGGTTTGGAGGTTTTCTTGTTTGATTTACTTTTAGCCAGTTTCACCGGATTTATTTCGGAAAATTTGGTTTTGGCACGAAATACTTTTTCTTGATTTTCAATCATCCATGTTTGATGTTTTCCGGGCTTTAATTAGATTGTTTTCTTGTTTGAATTTCGTTATAATTAAGAGCCAAAAGATTCACTGGCTTCATCAATTATTGATTTTTTTTAAGGCTTCGAAGTAACAATGAATTCCTCGATAAAGTGACCACAACTGGGCAATTTTTCCGCAATCCTGTTCCTACTTCCTCATCAATATGCAAATTGCTTTGCGAAATGTTAAGTAACAACATCCAGCGCTATTAATTAATCTTGGATAATCGCTTAATATAATTGATTGATTAAAATGAATTAAAACAAGGAAATGAACCAACAGTGCGATGATGGGAAAGTTTGCATCGGCCAGTGGCGGCCGACACACTCCTTCGCCTCTTGCTAGAGGAAACAGTCGGATATTGATCGCGCACGCCACTGGTCCAGGCAAATTGCTCAAGTCGAGCTGAATTAAAGGCTCTTTATTGGCCCAATTAAAATTGTTTAGCATAGTTAATGAAAACATGGCGCCAGGCAATAAAATAGCGAAACATTTGCCGGTAGAGTAGCTGACGATTGTCTCTAACTAACTGCATTAAAACCATACAATTAACAAAATTAATTGAAACTGCAATTTCATTGCTTTTAGGCTAAAAAGAAACTCGCTCAAAAGGAAAGTCGCACATTGCAAGTGGTTGGGTATGCGTGCCAATTCGATGCATACATTGGTTCAACTGCCCGAGAATTCTACAATTCTCCTTTGGGGGGCTGCATCTATCTACGAAGATATTTTGGGGCCGCACAGAATCACATCTTGATGTTTTGCCCGAAGACACTGAAAGCGGATTCTCCAATTTCTATCCAACTAACAGCCATGGCCCGAAATCTCTGGTTGACTGCCATCAGATTCGCCAAGGTAAGAAGAAACGTTAGTCCTCGCATTTACGAGCCTCTTTCGTCGTAAATTACTTCTATTTTAGTACTTGCGCCAGGCCGTTAATCATAATTCACTTTAAGTTTATGGGCTTTTAACAAACACAGCGGTGTGACCGAACGACTCAGTGTACTACCAGTGCAGTCGATCTAACGCTTTTTGGTCTTCATTTCTATCGCAAGTCTCTTGCCTGAGTTCAGATGGCGCGGCCTTTCACTTCAAGCCAATTCGCCTTAATAGGCAACCAACCAATCTCCAACTTAGTCCACGCTAGGTCTGGGTGACACTGTGTTGTGTGGCCCTTTTGGGTCGATGCCGCTCTGTGCGTCATGCGTCAACACCTCGCTTCTCACGCTGTGATACTTTGAATAACACTTTGACTATCATTCTGTAATATAGAACAAGTTTGGGCAGTTTTAGGTGCATTTCCAGGCAATTTTTTGGACCGCGAAAAACTGAATGCTGCGCCTCTGAATTGCATACAGCCATTCCAAATTCATGAATTTGGGCTTTAATGGTCCTCCCGTTTTATGACCGATCGTAAAAATGTTGACGTCCGCGCCGGTTCGTAACCCATAACTTTCGTAGCAGCAGCGAAAATAAATCGCGTCTGAACAGGAAAAAATCCCAACACTTTCTAACGAAAATCCCGGTTCTCCATTTCGATTCATCCGGAACTGCATGAATTTTCCAAACTAATCTAGAATGAAAGTTGCGTCTTCGATTCATAAATTTTGCGTTTCAGTGTTAAGCACTCATGCGACGATTGACAACATCTTGATGTTTGCACGACACGGCAATAACTTGGAGTTTTTCACAGAAAAGTCTCTAATGTTTCCGCTGGCGCAGTCTATAATTATTATTTATATCCGCTTGTTGACCTTAAATAATGCTGGTTTATAGGCAGCGGCATGGATGAGAATTAACGGTGCTGGTCGACTTTTACGACCGTTTTCAATCCTCAAGATTATTTCCATTAGATTGATTAAAGGAAACCATGAGTTCATGATAATTATCGACTTTTTCCTCGATGACGGCATTTTGTGCTTGTTTTCTCGACTTCACTCTGGTAATATCTTCTTGCTAATTAGCCTTGTTACTGTTGAAAGGTTTCCTGCAGTTTCAGCTTCGAATTCATTTTAATTCAAAATTCTCTTCTCATTCCTTTGGCTGTTTTTTTCCAGGTGCATTTCACCAACACCTTTTTATATTTTGATTTATCGCTCTTGTTTATTTCTTCATTTTCTGCTTAGCTTCCTCTCTATTCGTTTCTTTTGTCGATTTTTCTTTGTTCGGGTGCATTTTTCTTGTTATGTTCCTTTCTCAGACCCTGTTTTTCCTACCGATTTCTGCACCACTAGACACTTTCTTTCCTACCATCCATTGCCATCATCAACATTTTGCTACACTTACTCTGTTCTTCTTCATTCTCGAGATATTTTTATATCTCGTCCTTATGTTGCCTCTGTGCGCTCTTCCTGTAGTTTTTCTGCTCTGACTGCAGACCCGGTCATTTTTCTCCACTGGGCCCATTTTTCCGGTATTTTCCTTTGCATTTTCTTCATTTTCGCAATTTTTCTCGATTTCCTGCTCAACTAAGGATTTTATTTATTCTCGATGTTGTTCTTCCTGTTCGTTTCTTTGTTTTTTATTGCTCTTGCTTCTCTACATAGGTTTCTTCCTGGTAGTTTCTGTCTGAGTTTCGTTCTTGCTGTTGCTTATTTGCTTCAAGGCTGCATTTTTTGCCTTTTTATTATATTATAATAAATAAATATTATTTTTTATTTTTAAGCACTGTATTTCATGTTCACTTTTCTACACTAGGGATTGGTTTTTTTGAGTTCCGTTTCTTCTGTTGTTGTTTTCCCTTTTCAAACGTTGCCTTTCCTGTTATCCTTGTCTGATTGGCACTTTCCTTCCACTTCTTTCTTCAGGCCAACAAAAGGGAAACCGCTACTCTTTTGTTTTCTATTTCCTGTTCAACTCTTTCCTTAGATGTTTTCTTTACTCTTATTTTTCACCTAAAGGTTGTCTTCTTCTAATACAGTTTTTCCCGTTCTTTTCATACCAGTTTTATTCTGATTCATGATCTGTCTGTTTCATTTCCTCGGTTATTTTTTATTTCCTGCTCATCGTTCTTCTTTAGATGTTTTATTTATTGGTCGTTTTTGTCATCTGAGAGCGTTCTTCTGTCGCTTTCTTACACATTTTCCACATTTCTTGCTCTTTGTTCTCCTCTAATTTTTTTATGTCCTGTCGTCGTTTTTCCTATTCTCCTTTACTCTTTAAACATTTTGCTTCCTGTTTCTTTCTTTGTCTGTACGCATAGCTTCGATTGTTTTATTCGTTCAAACGCTGTATTTTACGTTGTTTTTTGTTTTTTCTTCCATTTGTTCCATTTCTTTGTTATGTCGTTTTTTCTCTTCATTAGCTGCCTTTCCTGTTCTGTCTTATCCTCTAGTTACTTCGTGTCTTCCTCTCGTCGTATCATCTTGTCTTTACTTTATACGTTTCCCCTTCCTGATTTTTTCTTCATCTGATGGCGTTCTTCCTATTGTACTTTTCTTCCAAACGCTATATTTCATGTTCATTATTTTATACTGGGATTTGATTTTTTGAGTTGCATTATTTCTGCTGTTTTTTTAATTCACACTCTGTCTTTGCTGTTATTCCTTGTCTGTTTGACACTTTACTTCCACTTATTCCTTCAGGTCAACAAAATGAAAATTGTATTTTCCTTTTGTTTCCTACTTCTACTTGTTACACTCTTTTCCTTGGGTGTTTTATTTCCTCTTTTTTTTTCGCCTAAAAGAGTCACTGTTGCTTTTCCCCTTCTGACGGAATTTTTTGTTCTTTTCATGCCAGCTTTAATCTGATTCATGATATTTCAGTTTAATTTCCTCGACTATATTTTATTTCCTGTTCATCGTTTATCTTGAGATGTTTTATTTACTGGTCGTTTTTTCAACTGAGAAAGTTCTTCTGTCGTTTTTCTCACGCATTCTCCACATTTCTTGCTCTTTCTTCTCCTTTGATTTTTTTCTGTCTTATCGTCTGTCATCTAATTCCTGCTTAGTATTCTCTATTCTCCTTTATTCTTTAAACATTTTGCTTCCTGCTTCTTTCTTTGTCTGCACGCATAGTTTTCATTGTTTTATTCGTTAAAACGCTGTATTTTACGTTTTTGTTCTGTTTTTGTCTTCCATTTGTTCCATTTCCTTGATTCTGTCGTTTTTTCTCTTCATTAGCTGCCTTTCCTGTTCTGTCTTCTCCTCTAGGTACTTCGTGTCTTCTTTTCACGTATTATCTTGTCTTTATGCTCCTTCAACTCTTTTCCTTAGGTGTTTTCTTTCCTCTTCTTTTTCGCCTAAAGGTTGTCTTCTTCTAATGCAGTTCTTCTGTCGTTTTACTCACACTTTCTCCACATTTCTTGCTCTTTCTTCTCGTCTGATTTTTTATGTCCTGCCGTCGTTTTCTCTATTCTCCTTTATTCTTTAAATATTTTGCTTTCTGTTTCTTTCTTTGTCTGCACGCATAGTTTCGATTGCTTTATTCGATCAAACGGTGTATTTTACGTTCTTTTTGGTTTTTTCGTTCCATTTCCTTAATTCTGTCGTTTTTCTCTTCATTAGCTGCCTTTCCTGTGCTGTCTTCTCCTCTAGTTACTTCGTGTCTTCCTTTCACGTATTAGCTTGTCTTGTTTAAATATTTTATTTCCAGCTCAACTTTATTTTATACATTTCTCCTACCTGATTTTTTTCTTCATCTGATGGTGTTCTTTCTATTGTAGATTTCCTCCAAACGCTCTTTTTTATGTTCACTCTTTTACACTAGGATTTGATGTTTTGAGTTGCGTTCTTTCTGTTGGTTTTTTATTTCACACTCTGTCTTTGCTGTTATTACTTGTCTGCTTGGCACTTTACTTCCACTTCTTCTTTCAGGTCAACAAAAGAGAAAATTGTATTTTTTTTTTATTTTCTACTTCCTGCTCAACTCTTTTTCTTAGGTGTTTTATTCCTCCTTTTATTCCTTTTTTTGCCTAAACTTTGCCTTTTTATACCAGTTTTATTCTGATTCCTGATATGTCAGTTTCATTACCTCACATATTTTTTATTTCCTGCTCATCGTTCTTCTTTAGATGTTTTATTTACTGGTCGTTTTTTATCTGAGAACGTGCTTCTGTCGTTTTTCTCACGCATTCTCCACATTTCCTGCTGTTTCTTCTCCTCTAAATATTTTCTGTCCTGTCGTCTGTCATCTAATTTCTGCTCAGTTTTCTCTATTCTCTTTTATTCTTTAAACGTTTTGCTTCCTGTTTCTTTCTTTGTCTGCATGCATCGTTTCGACTGTTCTTTTCGTTCAAACGCTGTATTTTATGTTCTTTGTCCACCTTTGAGATTTTTCAGTCTTGCTTAATTTGCCTTTCCTGCATTTCCTTAAATGCCTTTCCTGCATTTTCCTCTGTTTGTCACTTAAATTAATTTCTATTTAGTGTCTTCTATTATCCTTTATTCTCTAGGTGTTTTATTTCCTGTTCAACTTTTCTTCCTGGTCTTGTCTTTGTTTAAGTTTCGTTTTTTCTTGCTTTCCTTTGTTTTTCCTAATTAAGCGCTGTTTTTCCTGTCACTGCTTCTCTATTAGATACTTTTATTCTCTAGTCCTTTCTTTTCCTTCCATATCTCTATTCTGTTCGCTTTGTTTTCTCAATTTTTGTCAATTTCCTGTTGAGCTTTTTTCAATACGGTTTATTTCCTAGTTTGCCAACTAGACGCTTTCCTTCCGGTTTCCCCTTTTCCATCAGGCTCCCTGTCGTTCGTTTGATTTTTCCTGCTGTTTTTACTTGCCATGCAATTTTTTTCTCTGTGTGTATTATTTCTGGTTTTTCCATCAGAATGCTCCTTTTTCTTCACTCTGCTAAAATTTCTCAATTATTTTCTATTTATTGCTCAACGTTCCTCTACAAAATGATTTCTGTCTTTTGCTTTTTCGTCTGGGTGCGTTCAACGTTGTTGTTTTTTTTTCTTTGAATTTTTTTACTGAATTTCTACTTAACTAGAGTCACTGTCACTCCCGGTTCATCATTGATTCTAAGACTCTGTTCTTTCTTTTTAAGCTCCTCAATTATTTTTTATTTCCTGTCCCATGTTTTTCTGCCTGAACGAGTCCTTCATGCTGTTTTTCTGAATCAAATTTTCTTACTCATTTTCTTCTCTAGTGGATACTAGCGTTCCGATTGTTCTTTTTTGTTTCACTCTGTTCTGTCTGTTTTCGAGATTCTCAATTATTTTCCATTTTTTTTAAATTTCAGTGCCGTTTTTGCTAGTCATTTTGATCAACTTTCCATCCGGTGCTTCCTTTTGTTTCAAGCTTCTTTCTGCTGGCTTAATTTTCACTGTTGTTTTCTATTTCCTGTACAATTTTCTTCTCAATGAGTTTTCTGTCTGATTTTTGTCAGTTTTTTGTTTCCGATTATGTTTCATACTTTTATGACGGCTGCTCCATATATTTGCTTTCCTGATCACGTTTGCACTTGAATGTGTTCTTGTTGCTCATTTGCTCCTCTGGGCACTTTCTTCCGGTTCTTTCTTGCCTTCGGGCGTATTATTCTTCTTCCTTCTTTTTCCTTCGCTGCGACTTGCGCTTCATTTTTTGCCCAATTAATCACTTTTCGTGCCCAGTTTCTGATTGAATTTCAGTTCCCCACTGAAATTACGGCAATTTCTCCTCATTTTTCTACAGTTACTTTGCAAATTTGACGCTCATTTGCAGGCTTTTTCCCAGCAGTTTTTACACATCGAGTGCAGATGTGAAAACCTTTGCAGGTTGCATATTAAAATGAGTTATTTTCATTTCAGTATGGACCGAAGATTATCCAAGACTTCTTGACGTACCGAGCAGAACGTATGCAGTACGACGTGCTGTTAACCTGCCAAGCCGACCAGGTAAGTTTTCCCTATCAAGAAAGTTTATTTCTTCACTCTCAAGAGTAAGCTGAGATGCCAACCTGTATTACATTTTGATAGTTTGCCATTATCAAAAACTTTCAATCGCCCTGTATAACCAGTAGGGGGATCAGTCCCCAACACGCTCACACACAAAGAGGGAGGATTCCCAATAATTCACCCTCTAATCGGCGTTTGGGGTTCGCCCAAACATGTGTGCGAATTTCGCTCCATTCTTCATAAAACATTCGGTAAAACAACTAGAACACTAAAATTAATAGCTATGTGAACGAGGGCTGTTGGAAACTTCCTGCTTAGTATTTGAGTGTCAAACATATCAACACTAAACAGCAATAATGAAACTGAAAAATTACTGAAACACTGTAAAAGAAGCAGTAAAACAAACAAACCGACGACTTGAAAGACAGTGAATCCCAGCAGCAATTCAGCTGGTCGACTGCATTTCATATACGAGGGGGGTTCATTAACATCCCATTCGCGTCGGCTTCCTTCCCTGGTTAATGCGAATTGGGGCTTCCGCATGGCAACGAACAGAATTCGGTAAACTGATTATTATCGTTCTACAGTGGAATGGGGGGCTTTCATCAAGAAGCCGCCAAGCAGAGCACTTATTAATCGGTTAAACTCTATTTTAACAGCCTGGCAACAATAAAACAATTTGTAATGCAAATTGGAGTAATTCAATCGGGGTGCGATAAGCATCCRGATTTTTAGATTATCAATTATGGCTGCTTAATATGTAATTCATTATCGCTAGTTTCGTTTCTTTGTGGTTTCCTTCACCGGACTCCGCATGCAACRCAGTGAAATTACCCACAGAAATGGCCGAAACMACACCTGCTGCTACCGGGCGATTCTTTGAAGTTGGACCGGTTTTAATSATTTTTTTCGGTTTGTGTCTTCCTTATACTCCTGAACCTTGAAACRCGTCACTCCGATGGGATAAATGAGGAAAAAGAGGGAAAGTTCACGAGCTTGAAGGGTGAGAATTGCAGAAAGACCGGCACTCAGGCAAGCAAAACGACTCAGAAGAAACGCATTTATAGATGAAAATCGAACATCGAACAGGCAACAAGGGAACATGAGATGAAGTGGAAAACAAGAGGGACGCATTCAGATCGAAAAAAGAAACAGAAAGGAAACATCTGCAGAAAAACGTTGAGCAGGAGATGGGAAATATTTGTGAAACTTAGACAAAACAGAGTCTAGGGAAAGACAACAAACGGAGTGACAGTATTTTTCCTTTTTCATCAGGCTCCCTGTCGCTCGTTTGGTTTTCTCTGCTGTTTTTACTTCCCATGCAATTTTCTTCTCTATGTGTTTTCTTCCTGGTTTTTTTATCTGAATGCTCCTTTTACTTCACTCTGCTTAAATTTCTCAATTATTTTCTATTTATTGCTCAACGTTCCTCTACAAAATGATTTCTGTCTTTTGCTTTTTCGTCTGGGTACGTTCAACTTTGTTGTTTTTTTTTCCTTTAATTTTTCTATTAAATTTCTTCTCAACTAGACACTGTCCTCCCGGTTCATTTCTAGTACGGAAGGAATTTTGAAGGACAATTAGAAGAAAAAAACAACAGCAGTACGCATTCAGACCAAAAAAGAACTTGAGCAGGAGATAGAAAATAATTGGGACAGAATACAGGACACACACAGACAGGACAGAGTCAGAGGATAAATGAACCGGAAGGACAGGCTGTAGTTGACAAGAAATTTAGTTAAAAAAAAATAAAGGAAAAAAGAACAACAAGTTGGACGCATTTAGGTCAAAAAAGCACAAGACAGAAAACATCTAGAGATGAACGCTAAGCAAGGAATAGAAAATAATTCAAAAATTTAAACGGAGTGAACAGTGTTAGAAAAAAAGCAACAGTAAAGGTTAAAACGAGCATTTTGTTTGGAAAGGTTAGCTGGAAAAAGACCAGAAACACCATATAGAAAATTGTATGAAAAGTGAAAAAAGCAGAGAAAATCAAACGAACAGAAGAGAGTCTGAAGAAAAAGGAGCAACTGGAAGGAAATCGTCTGGTTAATTAATATAACCAGCAAAACCAGTACTAGAAGAAAACAGAGCATTCGGATGGAAAAAAAATAGGAAATAAACCAAATTGCAAAAAAACTCAACGGAGAGAAAAACGGAGAAAATAAAGCAAACAGAACAGATGTGGAAGAAAAATAAAGAACCAGAAAAGAAAAGTGTCTAACAGAGAAGCAATTACAGGAAAAAGAGAGCTTAATTGGCACAAACAAAAAAAAAGCGGAACAGAATCCAAGACAAGATCAGGAAGAAAAGTTGAACAGGAGGAAATCAAACATATAGGGAATAAAGGAAAAAGAAGAAGAGGAAGTTCAAAGAAGGCAGAAAGGAAGGTTCATAGTGAAGACTAAAGAATATAAAATTGAAAGCAAAAGTCGGTAAAAAAAACAAATAAATGAACAGGAAGAACAACATCGAGAGAATAAGTTCGAATTGGACATAAAATACCAAGTTGACTAGAAAATAGAAAAAAATTGCAAAAATTAGGCAACAGAAAGGACGCATCGAAACTGAAAAAGAACAGGAATGAAAACATCTTAAGAAAGAATAAAGTCTAACAGAAAATAAAGAAGAATAGCTAAAAGAAAGCGCTCAGAAAGGAGTTCTGAAGAATAAGAATCGTACGGAAAATGTCGAGTAGAGAAGAAATAAGTGGAGACACAGCGGTTGAAGGAATCAAATGGAAGGAAAAACGAAACTCAAGGAAAGAAACAATCAGGAAGGAAAGCATTTAAAGATGACGCTCGAACAGAAAATAGAACGTTTAAGAATGAAGGAAATAATAGCGAAAACTAAACAAAATCCTGACAAACAAAAGGAAGACTAGAAGGGAAATCCTTAGTGGAAAAATTGAGAGAGAAAAACAACAGGAAGGACGCATTCAGACAGATAAATAACATGAAAAGAAAAATCTAGAAAGGAACGCTGATGAGTAAATAGAAAATAATTGAGAAATTCAAACAAACAGAACAGAGTGAGGAAAAGTAAGGATCCAAAAAGAAAGTAGTTTGATAAAAAAAAATACAGCAAAAACAGCATTAGAAGGAGAAAGGAGTAGATTGGACGCATTCAGACGGAAAAAGACCAGATGGAAAATATATAGGGAACAAAACTGTACCGGGAATAGAGAGCAACAGGGAAAGTGAAACAAACAGAAGGGAAATAGGAGCACTATTTATCAATCTGTAATAAAAACGTGAGGAAATTCTGTCTTTTTTTAAGACAAAAATTTTTGAGGCAAAATACCCAGAAAGAAGTTTGTAAAAAAATGAATCCGCCTCAACAATATAGAACTTATCTAGAACAGAAGGGAGCTTCAAGGAAAGGAAATAACAGCAAAGTGTCGACAAAAAAACAGGAATAATCATATAGAAAAGAGAAAGAGCTCAACAGGAAATAGAAATAAATAGAGCAAAAACCGTTTAGGAAAAGAATCGAATAAAGTATGAGAAATAAAACATTTAAAGGCTAAAGGTGAATAGTGAAAACTAGCCAGTAATGCTATGAAATGGTAGGAAGATAGGAAAGAAAGCCCGCCGTAAAGTTGATTGAAGAAGCAAATATAGGATAGAAAGAACACGTTCAGACGAAGCAAGACTCCGGATGGAAAACATCTAGAAAATCAAGTGAAATTTATGCCTATGCAAAGAAATGTTCTTGGTTTAGTTAATTGGGTTAAGAAATCGGGAAAGCGAGCAATACAGATAAAAGGGCGAAAATCTTCCAAAGTAAAAATGCCTTCGATCTTTAATTCAAGTCATTTAGAGATTATACGCAAATATTCAAGTGAAGAGAGTGAAAAACGGTGCGAAAACACACGCGGGGTGCGCCAAATAAAGAAAGCGAACTGTCGATGACAATTGAAATCGAAGAAACTGTTACATATTGAGTACAATGTATGAGATGAAAGGCCTATGCTGTCAGCGGAAAGAGATCCGTGGCATGACGACGAAACCCATGGCTGAAGAAACAAAAATTACTTTAATGGTTTGCCAACCTTCGGAACAGCGACGGCACGTAAAGGAAAATAATACACCTTGGAAATATGGACGAGAAACATCCGCGTCGCCACAAAACCTGCCTTCTGCTTGATTGCTGCGACTGAAGGATATGCAGGGTAATAATTTGCTCGTCAAATCAACTTCCGACTATTTGAGAGTTCAAACCGATGTTGCTCTTGTTCAACTTCTTCCACTGTCCGATCTGATGGGCGTGAGATAAATTCGGTGCCCGCTAATGTAAAAACGCTCACTTGTTGGACCAATCATGAAATCATCTTGAAGACTTAATTAAGCGCTCTAAATCAGAAGTGAAACCAGTTGCAACAATGTTGCGTTCATTGATCAGCGAAATGCATGCTAATGGTTCCCCCAGCCAGATCTGATGGAAATAAGAGTTTCCACGTGTATCACCTTCCATTAGAACGAAAGGTAATGATAGCAGAGCGAACATGTGATGTGGCCGGATGGGTTCCATTGTTTTCAGCAAGTGGAAATATCCGTCTACAGGGTGATTCACTAAGAATGGCAAAAATGCTCTGTATGGAAAAAGTGCGCTGTAGGTTTTCCATACTAGTAAAACAGCTGAAATATGAAGTTTTGGTCGCCCAGTATATAGATTCTCAATTCGCACATCTTAATTCCAGCTTGACCACTCTGTATTTTTTCATATTTTCGTGCACAGTTTGGAGATTAAAAGTCAAGCCACCTTGTATCTGAGGGCCACAAAGCTACGAGATTTCCAACTTGAGGTAGAGGAGATTTTGCTGTTAAAGCTTCTTTGTTTGCGATATACAGTGTGCACATTTTTTGACAAGTAAGGCCTGCGCTATATTGAGAGTGTCCCAAAAATTGTCATAAGTGCGTTGTCTGAAGCACTTTTCCGGAAAGTTCCAGATGGTAAATTTGTCAGTAATTTTCTCGGGCACTACGACGGATTTTATT